TCTATCAAATAAGAGTATTAAAATTCTTACGAAAAAGTCATTTTAACACCACCTTTAAGACCACTATCAAATATACCTTTACCACGACCACCAGCAAGAATCTGAGCTTTAATTACAAGATCATTACTAAGTTCTGAATAAATTCAAAATAAAAAAATACAATATAAGTAATTAATAGAATAACATTATTGAAAAACAAACCATGACTTGAAGCAATTTGATAAACTTGATCAACGGATTCAGCTACACGAAATTTTGGTACACGAATACCAACTTGTTCAAGTAATCCCATAGAAACATATTCATGAAGTAATAAATAAAAACGTTTTTGTATAGTCAAATTAGATTTTGTTGATATTGGTACAAGCTAAAAAAAAATAAAAAGATCATAAATTTTTTTCTTTCGAATGACGTAAATTTACTTTCAACAATGTATTTTTAACGAATGTCATTTTTGTATTTTGAGATTTTCTATGATTGATTCGAATAAATTTATTTAAAAATAATTCTTAATAGATTTCCATAAAAAGTGATTCATTTTCTTTTAGAACTGATTTATTATTATTTTTCAGTATATCGTCGTTGTATCAAATATGTGTTATTCGCTTTTATTATCATCAATCAAAGCATTTTTTATAAGAGGTCGCACAATGATGAATATATTTACATTAGAAAAGTACATTTAAACATCATTCAAAACACTAATGAGAATATATATTTTTTTTTGTTAATTTTTTATTCTAGAAAACACAATATCAAATTGTCAATTATTTTTCAACTTATTTATCTTTCATTTTACTTCAAACAACATAACTATCTTCTTTATACGACTAGCTCCAATTACTACATATTAATTGCGACCAAAAATGAAGCTAATTTTGAAAAAAAATGACGATTTTTTTTTCAAGTAAAATTTGAATTCTTTCAAAAATGTGAATACTTTTCAGTTAACGAATTAAATCAATATTAGTTAATGCCAGAGTCCTGCAAGACAGTATAAATGAGATTTAGGACTCTAGCTAACGTGTAATGTTTTAACCTAGTTAAAATTTTTTTGTTCACGAGCAGTTAGTTTACAATCATGTTGATGACTTTTACCATTGTAGTTTTAAAATCACATCATATTTTTTTTCTTTTGAAGTAATAATACGAGAAGAAGTTTTACATTCTAAAATATGTACGAACGAACTATTCTGATTTTCAAACTTTAGTATCAAATTGTTCTTTTAGTTTTTAATGTTGTTGATTAACCCTTTGAGGACGGGTGGGTGATATTTGTCCCACCTATTTTTCAGTACAGAAAATGTTTGTTCTATGTTAAACTGTTACAATCTTTAAGGTAAATAGGTCATCTATCTGCCACCTGATGCAGGTCTTTTCTCTCTTTCTTCCTGCCATATAGATCTTCTCAGATGTCCTCCCTTCTTCCTGTTACTATATACTGACGCATGATTTCTCTCTCTCTTCTCTCAATGAATTATCATCAGGTTTTTATCTCATCATTTGAAGCCAAATACAACAGTCTGATTGAAGAACCATTTTTCGATTGAAAAAAAATTCCGTCCTCAAAGGGTTAAATAAACTTGATATTCATTTGTTTAAATGACTTATTACTTTTATTTTCATCTTTGTGTATTTATCAATAATACACAAGTCATGATACGATTCTGCAGTAACTAATTAGTCAAAAAAAGTGATCGTTATTTTGAAAATACAATAAAAAGAAAGCAAAACTAATCTTTTACTCATTATGAAAAGCAGTTATTTCTCATGAATTAGTTAGATTTTTAAATTACAACTAAACAATTACGACTTCAATCCAAAGAATTAATATCCTATCGTTATAATAGCTCGTGTAGAATAAATTGATTGAGGATGCATTTTGTTTTTTAAATTCTGTTTTCTGAATTATTAATAAATTAATTGTTAACATTCATTATTTTCAATATTATTTAACTAATCGAAAATATTTCATTCATTAATAGATACATTAATAAAATGAAATCTTTTATTTTTCATCTATTATATAATGTTCAATATTTTAAAATGATTACAACGACGAACATAATTTTTTTTTTTCTCTCAATAATTATTCACTTTTTTTTTTCTTTTCTTTATTGTGCGTCATCTGTCTCAACACATTTCTCATCTTATTTTTTAGTCTCATCTGGTGCTTCATATAATTCTGTATAAACAAAAATGAGAACCAACAATCGACAGGAAACAACGAATCCTATCAAATAGATGTGTCTTGTGTTTGTAATTGTAGAGAATACAAGAAAATTGATCTCATCATTATTATCAGTATTTCTAATCAAGGTCATTATTAATTTTCTAGATCAATTATCAATAATATTATCGTACAATGTTTTTCATTTGATTTTTATATGGATAGTCAATATAGTTTTGATTATATATTACAAAATCAAAAGTCTCGTTTCTATATCGATTATGTCTAATACAATACGATCCGATTCTTATTCAGAATCAGTTAAACAAGGAATTCATTCATTAGCTACATTACCAATAACATCGAATAGACGAGCAAAAACAATCGATAATATTCATCGACAATCGATTTATTATCAACCTGTTAATGTATTATCTTCAAGTACGAGATCTATTGGTAGATCAACGAGTATGTGATTACATATTATAAAAAAAACGAAGAAGAAGATTGTTGTTTTTTTCCATATGTTCATGAAAAATAATAAAATATAAATCTATATTGAAGTTGTCATCATTTTATTTAGAAGATCTATAAATACTTATTTACTATTCTTTCTCTTGATATGTGTCTTAGTAATAAAAATAATTCTTCATTATAATCTATTCTCGGCTCTTACAAATGACAAATCATATTAAAATACTCTATGATTGGATTGACATTAATAAAAAAATAATGAGAAAGATCTTTATTTTCTATTTTTGACTTTTACTGCTCGATTATTATTAGTTCAATAAATATTTCAAGTTTATTTTATAGTGATGACTACATCATTAACTCATCCAAATTTTCAAATAGAACGACAAAAAGAAAAACCAAATTCTAAATTATTAAATCCTTCATTCAATATAAAACCACCACGTGAAGTTTCTCTTCGTGTTAAATTTATTCGTCTTGGTGAAGTAAGTTTATATTCTTTGTTTTATCATTTATTTTCTATTAATAAAAAAAAAAGAAAAAAACTAAATAAATAAATAACAAAGGTAATTACATTAGAAGAAAAATTTTATGCTGAAGTTGTTATTGAAGCACGATGGTTATATGATCCTGATGCAGCTGAATGGAATCCAAATCTTTATGTTAAAAATGCACTTGGTGATGTTAAACAAGAAGTTGCTAGTGAATTAGTTGATCATTTAGATGAACCTATTCATATAAATAAAAAAAAATATGATAATATTTATGTATGGGAAATACGTAAAGTTGTTGGTACATTTTGGGAAAAACTTGAATTAAATAGTTTTCCAGTTGATGTTCAACAACTTTCACTTCAAATTGTTACACGATGTCCAATAGAAGAATGTATTTTAGTTGAAAATCGTTGTCAACCATGTATGGTTAATCGAGAAGCTTTTTTAGGTAATTTAAATAATAAATGATAAAAATATTATAGAATAATTTTATTTATTTAGCACAACAAGAATGGTTTCTTTATGAAAATATTGAAACACGTTCGACAATAACAATGGAAGATTTTAGTTTTCGACCTATTCGTCAATCAACATATATTGGTAGATTTTATTGAATTAAAAACTTTTTTTTTTGTTTTAATGCTTGAGCAGTTTCATTAGTTAGCGATACGACTTTTTAAAATAAAAAAAAAAAAAATGGGTATCTTTAAATTTTTTTATGTAATATATGTATTTAGAGTCTTTTTTTCCGCTGAGTTATGATTGAAAAATCAACATTAGTGACATGACAGAAAGAAGAACGTAGGTTTTCATTGTGTTCGTTTGCATTTACAAATACTGCAAGTTCAATCAGAATTATCAAAAATTCAATAGCGTATTTTATAAAGTACTCTTTAGATTACAAAATCTCTACGCAAAGTTTTTTCTTGAACATATTTAAGTTCTTTTTAAAAATTGAATTTATTCATTTTTAATAATGTGTGCGAGTACGAAAAACCCATGAATGAGAAGTTTAAACATCAATTTTAAATAGTACAAAACATTATTGAAGATCTCGAGATCATAGTAAAACAAAAATAACTCATTTTGAGTTATAAGGCGTCCAAATCAACTCGATGATGTTCATGTCCTATATTTACCACTTGTGCTCATATATATATATTTTTTTAAATTTTTTAGTAACATGTTGTGTTGCTCGTCGACCGGGTTATTTCTATTGGAATGTTTATTTACTTATTTTTCTTATTACATTCATTGCACTAACTGTCTATGGTGTTGCACCTGAATATCCACATAGTCGTCTTCAGATTACTTGTTTGTTTATTTATTTAATTCTATTATTTAATGACAATATTTTGTTTTAATCTAGGTACACTTTTACTTACGTCAATTATGTTTCGTTGGTCAGTATCACGTCTTCTTCCACCTGTATCTTATTTAACATTATTAGATAAATATACACTTATATCATTAGTATTTATATCTCTTAATTCAATATGGCATTCAATAATTGGTTTTCTTATACGACGTATGGATATATCAAAAACAATTGATTATTATGTACTTATTATATTTACAATAGTTTTTATTGTATATCATTGTTTAATGGTATTTTCATTATATCAAGCATTACGTCGTCGTCAAATAATGCTTGAAAGTGATCGTAAATATGCATCGAAATTAGCTGGTATGTTTGAAACATTTGTACAAGGTCATCATGCTGTACAACATTTTAAAGATAGACAAAATTCAAGTCATACATCTTTATTTGTTTAATAATATATATTACTATCTTTTCTTTTCTGTTTTTTTCTATTGAAGAAAAAAAAAAAATAAGTTACATCGAAATAAATATATTTGTATTATTGTCGTTTATGTATACATATAAGATTATTATTTGTAGTTAAACATAAATAATGTTCATTTAGACTAGTCGATAATATATTGAATGATTCAGAAGTATCATTTTGTTCACATAAAATTTTAAATTGTTTATTTTTAAAAATTGACTTTTTTGTTTTATATGTTTGAATTTGATGATAAAAAAATGAATTATCATTACTACCAACAATACATTCAAATGATTCATTCGTATTGTTTTTTTTATTATTCATTGAAAATGTAGATATTCTTGTTGAAATTTGTCGAGAAGGATTTGATAATAAGAATAAAATATGTAATTGTTGATCTTTAAGTGATTGTTGAAGATCAAAACAACAAATTTGATCAAGACCAAGAATATTCATAGCAATTAAATAAGTTGAACTATTAATTAAACAAAATGATTCAATATGTTCACTTATAGTCCATATTGATTTAGGAAATGCAAGTTGAATAGGTAATTGTTCTTGTTTATCTTGATATTTAATAATAAATAGTCCTGATGTTGTACCAACGAGAAGAACAATATTATCTTTCGATAATGGACAAAAAAGTAAATCAGTTATATTAATAAGTGGACCATAACCACTATAAAGATTATAGATATGTGTAATTGGAACTTTATTAATAAACATAGATGAATCAACATAATCAAATTGTGCAGCTGGTTTGTTTTGTTTACGTATAAAAGATTGAAGTCGATCGATATATGATCGAATATTAATAAAACGAACAATATGATATGAACCAACGACTAATGTATATGGATTACATGAATGCCAAGTTAAACAACTAATTGAAGAAGCCTAAGAATACGAAAAAGAAAATTTCAAGAGAATCTTTAATCGTATTAAACTATGCAAAACTTGTGAAAACTGCAAAAATTCGCAACGAATGTTATTCAGACACCTATAGTTATTTTTATTCTTACTTGTAAAAAATATTTTATCATTAAAAATCAAACTAACCATCAATGGCTATATTTCTACAGCAGTATCTGATATGTGTCAAATTTTTGTGTTGTCTAGTATCGACTGATTTTCTCTTTCTCTATTTTCTTTCTTTCATTTTGGTACTTAGAAATAAAGAATGTGTCCTTGACATTTTGTCTTTATTCGACAGTTGTGACAACAAGGTTATGCGATAGAATTTTTATTCTGAATAGAATCTTCGATATTTATATCATCAATACTATAGTTTCGGAAATATCAAACATGAAACTGTTCAGAATCTCGAAGACTGAGTTAAAATTAGTTTTATATTTTTCATCAGTGTTGTTGTAGATGTTATATGTAAAAAAAAAAATAAAATAAAAAAACTTTTGTACAACTTAACATGGGTTATAAAACGAACAGCTTGAGATTATTCTGTTATTTCTAATATTGTTAGTAAAGACAAGAATTTCTGTAGAAACTTGTAGAGTTCAAAAAAATATATATATATTTCAAAACTATCAATGATCATTTGTTTTTTTTGTCAAGTTCTTCGAACTAAAAAAAAAATCATATTTAAATAACTTACAGACAATTCAATATGTCCGAACATAAGATTCCATTTTTGTGATATAAGATACACATGTCCATTGCTTGATCCAACAGCTAATACTTTTAAATTTTCATTTACATTTTCAATTTCAATCCAACATAAACATGAAAAATATTCTGCATTTGTTTTTCTATTTTTATCTTTTATTTTTCGACTAGGTAGCATTACTGTCGAAAGTAATAGATCAACTTCAAATAGATGTGTTATTTCACATGTATCACAATTAATAAAACATACTTTTTGACCACCACATGTTGCTAATATATTATTTGATGTATTTGGTTCAAATGCACACATACATACAGATATTGTTGATAAATCATCATTAGATTTATGATGACAACGAAGAAATTTTAATGGTTCAAAAAATATTTTTGATTTCTCATTGATATTAATTGATTGATTAAAATCATCAGTTAAATATGTTTTCAAACTTCGTTTTGATTGAGAATAAAATTCATTCATCTTTTTTTCAATTAAATAATTTCCTAATAATGATAAATGAAATTGAGAAAATATGTTTTCTTTTTCGATAAGTGTTATTATTGATTGATGAAAATCATTTAGTAAGTTTTGTGGTATTTGATCATCTTTTTTATGTTTATCATAATGTAATAACGACCATAAATTATCAATATTTGTTTCAATTAATAATAATAATTGATCAAGTTTTAATTGATCATTATGAATTTGTTCTTGATTTGAATCAATTAAATGTTCTATTGTTGGACAAATATATAATGATAAAAATCTTTCATTATTTCGAAGAATATTATTTGTTATATCTAAAGTTTTTAAATATTTAAAATCTTTAAGAAATAAAAGTGTTTCTAATTTATTATGACTTAAATTTAAATATTCAATGAAATTTTGAGATAATTTTGACCAATCTGGATTAATTGATATTATTTGATTATAAGATAAATCAAGAGATTTTAATTTAGGAAATTGTTCAAATGAAAATGAATCGATATTTATTAATTGTAAATTTGATAAATTTAATTCTGTTAATTGATCATAACAAGATAAAATTGGTAAACATTTACACGATGTTATTAATGATAAATAGTCGTTTTCAGAATGATGATTCGATGATATCATGATCTAGAATGATATAAAATTATTAGGAAAATTACAACAAAAATATGATAATTGATGGAAACAAATAAATATATTTATTTGATAGTAAAAAAAAAATTCCAGTACGATATAAATTATTTCATTAATAAATATTGCAGCTTCTTCTGTAATCTACAAAAATATTAAAAATATTGAATAAAATAAAATTTACAATATCATTATGTTCATTGCAAATACTATAGAGAATATTCTAGAAAGAAAAGTTTAAAATATTTTGTTCTATTAAATTTGAAATTAAAAAAAAAAGATATTGCATCAATAAATTATTATATAAATAGTAAACTTGGGACCAAGATAGACAAGGTTCAATTCACGAACAGAGCAGTGTAGTTCTTACGTACGAATTTCATCAAGAATCTAATCGTTTTGAAGTCGAGATAATATATAAACATGCAGCCTCTAATGAGTTATGAATGCCTCGGAAAAAGCTTGGGCTTTTAACCAATCGCTGCCGACATATGGCATTTTGACAAGAGTTTTTAGCAGAACAACATAGTTTCTCTCATCCATACGAATAATTTATTATCAGATTCTTAGATCTTTTTGTCGATAACCACATCTAAGGAGAGAATCGATCAGAAGATGTTTATTTTTCATAACAAATCAATCCTAATCATGTCTATCTTTATGCTATATTTTAAATGAAAATTTGAAACTCAGTTTTTTCAGTATTTCTGAGGAAATGACGTTGTTCGGCTGAATATTACCGTACAAATAAACTATTTTTATCTTGCTCCAACTTTCATAAAATACAATAATACAAAAAAAAAAATATGATAAAGAATATCCTACAATTCGAATTGATTACTTATTAACATTTCAAGTTAATAATTTACTTTGTAAATAATGAAAATATACACTAGAAAAAAACAATAAACAACAATCTAAAGTCTCAATATTTTCTTATACCATTCAAACACATTCTGAATCAGATCTTGTACTTTTACTCGATAATTAGATCAATTCTATAAAAAAAAAAAAAAAAAAACATTTACAAAAAGTTTTTCATCGAATTTTAGTCTTAATTGAAACTAAATAATTTGCATTTACGAAATAGCGTTAATCCTATTGTTTGTTGATAATTATTAGAAATTTTTTTTCATATCTATTTCCCAAATGATTCATTACTTTGTATATGAAATCGATTGTTAAGAGAGTTGTTACAACAAGAATGACAAAAACAAGAAGCAAGTTCAGATGATTTTGTACATCGACCTAAAAATTTAATAAGAAAAACAAATATTAAGTTTGAGAAAGCATTTCTTTTTTTTTGCTATCTGATTGAATAATTAAATCTCGATGGTAAGATCATTGTTATGTATGCAAAATTATTTCTAAACAATTTTTATTATGATCTCGAATTTTTTCTATTTGAAGAATTCATTTTGAAAAATTGAATCTTTAAGTACTATTATTAAATGAACGAAACAAAGACATAACTTTTATTTACATCTAAATATTAAGAACTAAATGTTTCAAAAGAATGATTATACCGCCGCTATTAATGATTCATATTATATTTAAATTCACCTATTATGATTTTGTTTTTCTTTATCTTTACAGAGGGTGTTAGATGTTAGACATAGAAAAGAATTAACAATAAAACATAAGTTTATGCTTACAAGTGAAAATCATCCATAAATTCATACATGAATCTTCCAAATCATCTATTAATGTTATTTACTATTGAATATTATTCGTCTAAAGCTGCACAAGTACTATAGTTTTTTCATGATGAAATCAATACAACTATCGTACTATATAACTTTTCATGATAAGAAAAAGAAGTATAACAAAAAAAAAAAAATTTTTTTCTGCATCATAAATCAAAAAATATTGATAGACATCTTTAATATTTCAAATAGTAATAATACAACTAGCTGTTCCAATGACATAATCATCAGAATGAGTAGATAGTGTAGTCCAAACATTTGTATTAATATCATAGCTTTCCATTGATCTTACAATATGATTTCGTTTTGAATTAACACCATACAACACAAAAATACGATTATCTGTATATCATATAAAAAATACAAATCTTAAATTGAATATTCAATAAATAAATCATACCAATAATTTCAGCACATAGATCATGACGTGCCTGTGTCATATGATCTAATGTTATCCATTTATCTTGATGAACATCATATTTATCCAAAAGATTTAGACTTAACATTTTTCGATTGTCTATTTCATTATCATCATTTTTTTCAAGTTCAGTACAACCACCAATAGCATATAATGAATATGAATTTGTAATCATCTGTCCATGACATCGAGCTATTGAAAGTGACTGTTTTTTTAACCAACTAATAGAAAAAAAAACAAAAGAACAGTAATCTTGTTGTCATGCCGGAAAAAAAAACTCATAAAAGACAAACGTTTTTTTCTCAGAATCATAGACAATAACATTGGATAATGTTGGTTTTGATTTTGTAGTACCATAACCACCAATAATAAAAAGTTTATTATGAAATGAACTTACAGAACAACCAAGACGAGGAGATCGTAGATGTTTAGCAAGTGTCCATATGTTAGTTTCAGGATCATAATATTCAACAGAACGAATTGGTCTATTACAATAATAATATTAATCTAATCTAAGATAGATTATTTATTACTTACTTTCCATCTATTCCAAGTCCTCCAACTACCCAAATTTTATTATTGAGTACTGCACATCCAAAATAAACACGTTGTTCTAACATTGATGATATCGATTGCCATTTATTTTGTTCATATGTTGTTAATAATGATCGATCAATTGAATACATCCAATTTGTTAAAGCAATTTGTTCTTTTTCAAATGGATGTGACAATGAACCACCTGAATGTTATAAACTACATTTCAGTGAGTGTTTTAAAAACTGAAAATAATACGATCATTAATATTCATACATACCAAGCATATAAATTCGATTATTAAACCATATTAATTTATGATGATGTCGTTGATCAGGTAATCGTACAAATAATAACCATTGATCTTTTTCAATATTATAAGCAAATAGACCATTCTCTAATTATGATTTTATTTTTTGAAATTATTAATGAATGAATAAATATGAAGAAAAAACAATAAAACCTAACCAGCATTTTGATTAATTGTCATTGTTTTATCTAAATGAAAACCACCACCAATAATAAGTATTTTTGAAGATGAAAAGAAGAATGAATTTATAATTGATAAATAAAGTTGATTTTCTACATTAATAATTGATTCTAGATGAATACATTTAGATTTTGATAATGAAAAATTTTCAGATTGATCAATTGCAAGATAAACTGTAGAACTTGTAGATGGTAAATACTAAAATAAAAATATTTATGATACATAAGCTTCTTTTTCTTTTTTCTTCATTTCATCATGACTAGGAGCATTCATTTTCAATGACATAAAAATTGCATTTATTGTTAATTCGACTTTTATTTTTGTATTTTTGTCGTAGTTATTCTATCTGTATGAAAATGGATATCTACTATGTTGGAAAATTTTTCTTAGATAGACTACGAACAAAGTTTACCATGCATATCTCTATTAAACATTTTCAAAGATCACTATTTCACGGATTGAAATCAAATCTTTTCATTTCCTGAATCGTGTTGATAGTGTCTAAGTCTTGTCCAAATGGAAAGTCATTGGAAAAACTGTAGATTTTGTATCTTTTATCAACAAGAAAATATTTAAAATATTTGGGGAATGTTTTTTTTTTCTACTGACTATTAGTTTTAATAGAATTTTTAGCAAGAATATCATGTTATTTATGATTTTATATCGTAAACATTTAATTCTTACTTTAGTTTGTAATAAACTATCTCTTTGTTGTCGATTTTCGATTTGATTATTGTATATATCACTAATGAACATAAATTAATAGATATATTAAAAAAAAAGAAACACAATTTTAAATCTACGTGAGTTTTTTTATTAACCATTGTTTAACAATTGGAATGTGTAATATTTCATAATTTATTGCTAAAATTTCTTTTAATGATAAATAAGTTAAATTTTGCCAACGAATTTTTTTTAATAATTCAAAAATAATATCCGTATTTGATATATGATTACATGATAACCATTGTAATGTTCGATCTAATACATGAAATTCTTGTCGTTTTTCAATATTTACATCTGAAAGAATTTGTTTTAACATCCAATAAGTAATATCAATAAATTCTTTTGTATGAATACATTCATCCATAGATTGAATAAGAAATTTATGTGCTAAATAATAAACTTCTGAAAGATCATGTTTACATGCTATATTTAATATTTGAAAAATTGTTCGTTTATTAATTTGAGAAAGATAAGTTATACATAAATCGATTACTTTTCGAATACCTAATTCTTTAGTACAAGTTAAAATATCATCAATATTACGTATTGTAAGTATTATATTATCTGTATAGAGATAATTGAGAATAAGTTGTAATGATTTATGAGTTGAATGACGAAGATGTACACGAGTAACAAAATCATTTTTACGTTTGTTAAAAATTTGTCTAGATAAAAACTTTCATAATATACAATGTGTAATATATTCATAGGCTCCCACGTTATGTATGCATACAAAAAAGAAATGTTTATTTTATTTAAAAAAATTATTCGATTATTGATATGTACACATCAGAGTAGCCAAGTATTATCAGATGTTCTGATCTCTTCTTTGCCTTTTTTTGCCGTTTAAGCCCCCCCCCCCCCTCAAAAATTGATCTGAGCCCAGGAATGTTCAAATGACATGAAATTTTCATGGTATGTTGGGGCTGTTATGGAAAAGCTATGGTAAAATTTTCAGTCCAATATCATGATGTTTGAGGGATATGCTAGGCAAACAAGGGTCAAAAATAGCTAATTTGGCAACCCAAATTTCTCTGTCTAGGTCCGTGTGATTTATTTAATATTTTTTTCTTGGAAAGAGCATATCAGGATGTAGGGCACCACAGAGTCCTTTTTTTTGAAATTCTTACTTTTTAGACGGAAAAGGACTCACAAGTTCAATGACTCAAAAAAAAATGTCTAAAAATGGCGACTTTTTCATAGAGATATTTTCCTATGTTGTTAAAAAAAAGCTTATTTTAAAAAAAAAGGGCTCTATGGTGTTCTGCGTCATGACGTGCTTTTTCAAACAAAAAAAAATTTAAATATATTACACGGATTTAGACCGAGAAAAATGGGTTGAACTTTCCAGATATCATGCAAGTGAGAAAAAAAGCGAAAAGGATTTTCGGTTTTTTTCAAAAATGGCTTATTTTTTGAAAAAAACGGGGTGCCGAGCAAAAATTTTTGTCGATTATGAAAGACCAGATCACGGACTATCTTTCTCTGCATTTATCTCAATTTCGATCATTCTGATGCAAAGTGACTGTTTTTGAAGAGGAGAGGCCTTAATTAAACTTTCATCTTTAACATTTCATTGGAATACTATTTTCGATGTTTATAATAATGCATCTCTACTGCTAGTCGCAGAAAGTAAGAAATATCTCATTTATTTTTCTCAGTGTCGCTCTACTGACGTTTTTCTGACAACAATCATTTTCACCTTTAAAAGACGTATGCTCGATGAGTTTTTCTAGACGTCGTGCTTTCTATTAGTCTTTGCACGTTTTAATTGCAACTCAAGATGCTCTTTCTAATTATACTATGGAACTTGCAATATAAGTTAAAATTGCATTTGTAAACGAAATTTTTCTCAATAAGTTCCTTACATCACAAAGAAGTTCACAAGTATTTGCAAATCAAAATCTTTTCAATATCGTTCCTCATGATATAATTTTCAATTTTAATAAAATTATTCCGAGAGAGAGCACGTCCAATTTCTTAGTTATTAATGAATATAGATCTAAATAGAAGTATTTTTTTTGTAAAGCAGACATATAATTATGTTACAATCTGTTTTCAATTTTTGTCTTCAAATGCATATTTTTGTACATATACATAATGTGGTTGTTTATAATTATGTTCTATTCTGTATTAATTCGTAATAATAAATCTTACTTAAATTTATGACTAGATGCTGCTAGCACTAATCTATGTGCTAAATATTCACTACCTTGTACAATAAGTAATAGATCACAAAATTGTGAAGATTTCCACATTTGTTCAAGAATTTTTTTTGATAGAACATTTTTATTTAAATCAAAAAATTTTTTTATTAAATTTCTTTCAAATAAATAATAATTTTGTGTTAATTTAATTGTTGATAAAAGATTATGTTTTTGATTTTTTACAATATTTAAATGTTGATATATATTTAAAATATTTTTTGATTGAATTGAATGAAGAAATTTTTCTTTTAAATTAATTATACTATATGAAACTCGAAAAGGTTGAAAATGTATATAAGATAATTGTTGTGAAGAATCAATAGAATATGATAAACGATTAATATTTATATTTAAATTCGTACTATTATTATTATTATTAATCATAACAAAATATAAGAAAAATTAAATAAGCGCAAAAATTTTATCTTAATTAATGAACATAAAAAAAGAAAAAGAAAAATCTCTTTATTTATTTATATGTATTAAGTAAATCTTTTAATATAGGATCATTCATACAACTTTCAATAAATTTATATCTTATAATTCGTCCTCGTTCTTTATCATTATCTAATCTTGTTATAAGATTATCAACTTTTTTTAATAAAACATTATAACTATCTTTATAATTAATACCTTTAATATTATATAAGGCTTCCATCATTTTAACTAATTTTAAACGATCTATATAACCTTCTTGATTTGAATCCAATAGAGAAAAAATAAATGAAAGTTTTTCTGTTAGATCACCTCGTCTAATAATACTTATAGCATGCATAAATTCCATAAAATCAATAATACCATCACTATTAAGATCATATATACGAAAAAAACTTTCTGTCAAACGAGTTACATCACCATTAGGATGTAATTGATTGAAATAATCAATAAAAAGTGATTTATGTATATGAGCTGTAAGATATGAGGATTTATTATTACTATTTGTACCACATTTTTCAAGGAAAACACCATACCAATCAATAATTTCTGAACGATTAAAACGTATTTTAAGAAGTTGTTCAATTTGTTCTTCACTTAATTGTTGTTGTGAACTATCAACAAATATTTGATCTTTCTTTTTCTTTTTATTAGTTATTGATGAAAGAGAACAACCCATCAAATCGTTCTCGATTAGTAAGAAGCGCCAAAATGAATTCAACGATTCAAAAATCGGTTGTTTATTCTATACGATACAAAATACCAAAAGGGGTTTTATATTTTCAGTCAAAGGTCAAATCATTTGAAGGTTAATATTTTAATAACGGTATAAAATGCAATCGTACATCAGTTTTAGTTGAATTGAAAACGATCAAAATAATTTACCTACATTCTAAATAATTAATACAGAATGCTCTAAAAATTCAGCTATCTAAGTTCGTTGAAGGTTCATAGGATCCTTTCTGATATACCGTAATTATTGTGAATTTTTTTTTCGGTGCTCATTTCCATTAAAAAAATTGTCCTAGAATCAAAATACTCGAATATGTCATATTTCTTAGATACACTAGAGCAATTCGATATTTTTCAGCGTATGGATTCTAAAACGATCATTTATTGATGGAAATAGAACGCTTTTTTGAATCAAAATGATCAACGAAAATAGTTTTGTTAAATATATCTTGAATGCCATAATACATTGACTATTGAAGAAAGTTCCCAGAAAAAAACACCAAATTCTGTATTGAAATATAATCCTTTGGTCTGAACTTCGCGTCGAGAAATGGTTTGTTTAATTATTTCTCTTGCAACGAATTTTTATTATTCGACCACCATACTTGGTTGGATGTTTGCTAGGAGCACTATACCTTATATAATCGTATAATATTATTAACAAACCGTGGAGGTAACTTTATGAAAAGATTGAAAGATAATATGTATGCACAAAAAAGTGGGACGTAAGTTTTGTTTAATTTATATATTTGGTATGGATGACAATGGGTTTATATCGAAAATTAATATGTTTCATGTCTATGAAGCACTATAATCATCAAGTTCAGACATATTTATTCTCGATATTTGTATTTAATCAAAGTTATTCAATATTATTGTCTTGTTCTACATTGATATTAACATTTTCAATTTTTTTTTTGTTGACACTCTCGATAATTCTTTGCATTTTTCTTCTAATATTTAGGTTATTTTGAAATAGGCTTTTTCTGACGATGTCACCTAATCGTTATTATACTCAATACCTATCCGCAGTAAACATTCAATTTGTTAATCAATCTACACTGAAATTACAACAATAAATAAAATTGCTATTATTAAATGATAGCTACTATCTGTAATTAAATATTCAAACAAGAAAATAAAAGCAATACGTTATAATGATAATAAAAAAAAATCAAGATAAGACAAATGTTATATATTCATAAAATGAGTCATTACTTCTATTTGTTAATAATGATTGTCTGTTGAAATAGTATTAATTGTAGTGGACCATGAGTTTTATATGACTATTAACATAATACATAATAAATATTTTTTATTGCATACCAAAAGATTAGAAAAGAACAAATAAGACTAAACCTGAACAATGATTAAAATTGCAATCGAAATTTGAAACCAAAAAAGAATAGATTAGATTACATTTGAACTGTGACAAAAAGCTATTGATTAATGAATAAAAACTTTGAATTTTTTTTTTAGATTTGAAAAAAAAAAAGTTAGTTTATTTAATTACACTTTTCAAATACATCCTGTAGAATGAAGCAAATTCAAGAAAGATCAAAATTAATATCATCACGAGAGGATGAAATAGTTTTCAAGTGAACAAGAATGAGAATAGTAAGCAGATGGTCACACGCGAGACGTGACATACTCTATGAAAAGAGATATCATTTGTGTGTGTAGTGTTTTTTTACAGATAAACTGGAGTTGATTCATTGAGGTTTGTTTTTTGTTTTTGGTGATGAATTACAACATGCAATGATGATAGCTTATTGAAAAATATTGTTATTATAAATTTTAAAAAAGGTATATTTTATTTTTGAAAATATCATAAAATGTAACAGGTGCTATATTTATCAAATTGATATTGAGTATTAAATTCTAATGTAAATATTTGATCTAAAATCAAAGTATTTATACTAGAGTGTCGATTATTAACACAAAATGTTCACGGAGTTATATATATATATATATATATTAAATATCGTTGAATTTATCGATAATAAATCAAATATAATTCCTTGTCAATCATCAAAAATCTTACTAAAATCATAAACAATCACACGTATACATAGACAAACTTTTTTTATATTTACAAAGATTTAATAATTTACAGATGAATGTACCCAAAAAAACAGCTATATGCATTATTTAAAAAACCTCAGACTATGTAATTAATCATCGGCGAACATAACAAATATTAAAAAAAAATTATTATTTATTTTTAACACGTTCTCATTGGAATAGCGTACGTAAAAGATTCATTTATTTTTTTTTCTTTATTTTCTACGATGATTTATATTTTTGAAAGAAAAGAAATAAGATCAAATCGTCGAACGAGCATATTTATATAGATCGATACACACAATGAGTTATAATCTCAAATTACCACCATGAGAAGCAATACATCATTCATTTTTATTCTGTCGCTGAAAAAGTGTGCCTAAGTTGTGCGAGGAAAAAGAAGCGAGTGAATATATGTTAAATATAATTATCGTATGTGTTTTTTAACCTGCATCGTGTCTGAAGGTAAATGATAAAAATGTCGAAAGATGAAAAGAGAAATATCAAAAAAAAAATATATGGTCCTTTTCTTGTATCTTAATCAAAAATATACAAAATAAATGAAATAATTTCGATATAAAATGAAAAATAAAAAAAAAAGTATATTCACTCACAAATTAGTTTTACGTTCTTTATGTCATTTCTTTTTCCTTTGAGAATAATCAGACTTCGGATGAGATTTTTTTTCTTTTCTTCTTGGAGTAATTCAAGAACAGTGAAGCGAAAAAAAACCTTCAATTTCATGTAGAAGAAAGAGCAAAAAAGAGTCTCGTAACAACATAGAAAAAGTAAAAAAAAAAAAACAAGAAATCTTTCTTGTTTTAAATATAAACGTTTCTGTTTTTGTTTTGTATGATGTAAGTAAGCAAACAATAGAAGGTAACTAAGAGATTACATCGAGAGTTCAATCGGACAAATGTGAACATTCGATGAGTTAAAGACATGGAATAGAAGAAAAGAAGAATTGAGTGAAGAAAGAAAAAAGAAAAAAGAATGAACACCTGTAAATGAAGAATAAAAAAAACAAGAAAGAATGCTGAAGACATTTGTGTACCTTTCTCGTTGAAAAGAAACCAATATTTATTAAGCGTAGAAACAAGTAATTTTGCTTTGAATAAAATATACATACGACGGTATTTTGCCAATTATTGTCATTGTTTTTTTTTTGTATTTAGATTCAAGAATGTAAGAGTGACTACGTATGGCCAATGCAGTTTTCAATCAATTATCGTTTATTAAGAAACAATTGTATATTGTTCTTTTCAGTATTTTTTATTCTTGAATTTATTTATATAACATTTTTAAAAAACTATGAAAATCTATCAGTGGATAATAAATTTTATCAATTAAAAATTTTACCACCTGAAATCAATAATAATAATAATAATAATCTATTATCAAAAAAATTCTTTGAACATTTACAACCATTTTATCATTCTGTTTCATGTGAAAATTTATATGAAAATGATTATGATGAATTTAAACATGCACTTGCACTTTTATCTGATTTAAAAGATCTACCATTAATATCTGATCAAAAATATAATATAACTAAAGAACAATGTTCAATATATCGTTCTGAACGTTTTAATGAAAAATTTCATCATGAAGATAAAAATATTAATCGACAATTTCCATTAGCATTTAGTATACTTATGTATGAAAATGTTGAACAATTTGAACGTTTATTACGTCTTATATATCGTCCACAAAATTTTTATTGTATACATGTTGATAATGATGCATCAATGAATGTTTTAAATGCTGTTAAATCTATTGTTCAATGTTTTGATAATATTATTTTAGCAAGTAAACAAGAAAAAGTTTTATATGCAACATTTTCACGTTTACAAGCTGATCTTAATTGTATGAATGATTTAATTAAATATCCATCATGGAAATATTTATTAAATGTTGCTAATACAGAATTACCATTAAAAACAAATAGTGAATTAGTTAAAATTTTATCTATTTATCGTGGATATAATGATATTGAAGGACGATGGAAATCAAAAAATAAAGAACGAACAGAATATGTTTGGCAAACTTTTGATATATCCAAAGGAGATAATAAACAAGTACCACAATTAAAAAGAACTAATGAAAAAAAGACATCACCACCTGGTAATGTTGAAATTGTTAAAGGATCAGCTTATGGTAAATTTATTTATACTTTTTTTTTTTGCAATTGAAATATTTATGTTCTTTCTTTTCAAGGTGCTTTTTCACGAGCATTCATCGAGTTTGTACTAACAAGCCCGATAGCAAAAGAATTGCTTGATTGGTCGCGTGATACATATAGTCCAGATGAACATTATTGGGCTACGTTGAATTATAATACGCATCTACATTCTCCGGGAGGTTATAAAGGTAAACATGAGTGACTGATTATTTAGTAGACGTTGAATTTCTTCTATCGTCAATAGAGAAAAAAAAATGAATTAAAAGAACGATATTGACGACGCATTTCTAAATCATCCAAAACAGTTAGAAAAATAGAGAATCAGAAAATAAACATATATTCGTTTATAATTGATCACCACATCTCAGATTTCTGAAATTTCATAGTGAACGTTACTAGCTAACAATATTTTCTGATTTATTTTGGTTGATCATGACTATTCATAGCTATTCGTCTTGATGTTTATGCTCTATTTGGGTAGTTGTGAGTAATGACATGGTGCATAAGAGCCCATATATGTTCGTTCTTTTTTTTTCGCTCGAGACTCAAAATTGTAATTTGTTATTAGAGTGCTAATAAATTTTGTGAATGAATGAAAAATAATTTTGTATGTTAATTTATTTTAGCAAAAAGTGATCCAACTAATTGGACAGCTCGATTTGTAAATTGGGGCGAACAAAATTGTTATGGACGTATAATACGTGGTATTTGTGTATTTGGTATGTTTGATTTACCAATTCTATTAAATCGACATGAATTATTTGCTAATAAATTTCATTTAAATGCTGATCCAATTGCATATCAATGTTTAGAAGAACTTATAATGAATAAATCTAAAGTTGATTTACCATTGAATGATGCAATATTTTATCGTCAAATGCCTTTTCTGTTACCTACTTAAATTATTTTGTTAAAACCGGTTATTTGTATTGAAAAATATTAATATCAATAAATTAGATCAATTAGTTATTGATTCTAATGAATAAAGAACTAAAGAATCTTATGAATTTTAATATGTTGTAATAAAAATTTGATAGATTTCAAGGAACGATAGAATAAAATTTTCATACGCTCATATTTTATTGCGAAATTGATTTCAATGAAAGAGATGATCGAACTTAAGCATGCGTAAAATATGAAACGAGGCTGAGTTTAGTTCTAAGAGAAAATTAAATATTACTATTGAAATATCGACTATTTGTGCATTTATGAGAAAAAACAACTTTATCGAATTTCTTTAGTTTTGCAAAAATTTGCATGTAATACTTGAGATAAGTCGAGTGAAAATTATATAAATGGATAAAATATTAAGGGTTCTATTTAGGCATATATTAATTTAAATAGATTAATATGCATCAGAAAATAAAATATTCACATGAAAAATAAAATCGAAGAACTTCAATAAAAAAAGATACCCAACGGTAGAAGTTGTCAGAAAACTAAGAAACTTGTAATAAAACTATATTCAATGAAAAGAGAATATATAAATTGAAAGAAGATTAAATATTCTCGAAATTGATCAAATTTTTAAACAATATATAAGATAAATAAAATGAAAATTATATATCGTTCGATAGAGTCATCAATACTCTATTTAACCAAATGAAATATTAATTCTCTTTGATCTTATAGAAATACAACAAAACTAACAAACAGTATCGTAATCAAATGCATGAAATTTTTATGAAATTTTTCAGTAAAATTGGGCGCCTAAAAGTAAAATTACAAAGTTTTTGCTACAACATCTTCAAATCTTACTATTCAAGACTTTGAATTTTTTTTTTACAAGATTTCCAGCTACGAATCTTGAGTTACTTTCTATTTTCAAAATTAACCTTGTAAGAATTTGGATGAGAGAAAAAACCTTTTCATCTTTTGCCCTTTTTATCATTCTAAAATATCAAAAATATATAAATACCATTGAGAATTTTCTACATAGTTCGCTATATGTTTATTAATCTTTGAGCACAAGATTAAATTTGTTGTGAAAAATATGAAACTTTTTAAAAATAATCGCGTATTGTTTTTCATTTAATAATAAATCTTTAATATTCATGAGAGCTATTTAGAGCCTGTACTCGAAGGATTAATTATGTTGTGCTTTTTTCGACGTTTTATTAGAATATTTCTAGCCAATGGTGAATCGCATTGACTGACAATGAAAAGAGAATGATAGCTAGAATGATTCACTTTAACTTAAACGTAGATTAGCATCAATACAAAACAATGATGGCTTCCACCACCTTTTTCAACTGTCTAATGAGAAAAAAAACTACAATAAGAAAAGTGTACACATTTTACTGAGTCCCATAGACACAGATTAGATATAAGCTAGATATGTACAGAATCCTTATACAATATTCGAAGTGACGAAAAGGAAAGAAACAATCACATAAGCATATAAACGCTCATATATTATGAATGTATCAGGTTGCACAAAACTCCAATATGAATAAACTTGTCAAATATTTATTCGAAAATCAAAAACACCGAAATAATGTGTTAATTCTGCTTGTTGTCAACGAAAATGTTCTACTTTTTCAGTTTCTATATTTGTAATTTAATTCTTGGAATATGTTCAGTAGAGATAGAATATTTCGAAGCTAATACAGAGCTGAAAGATCTAAAAATTTTTCTCTTAGAAAAGGAGAGCTTCTCTAAGCTAAGTTTTGTCTTATAAAATCCATGATGGTGAATTTTATCTGTCTACCAGGTCTATTATAATGACAAGTAATACCTATTATAAATGATTCACACGATGAATAATCAAAGGGCTATAAAATTTAACGTTGAAATTAATGATAAAGAGTATCTTCGACTTCTTCCAACTCGAAAATTTCTCCTCTTAATTTAATTATGTTTCTTGTCATCGATCGGTTACATCGATAAAAATTTAACTGAATTTTAAACCTAAATTAATGTTATTGTTACATCTTTTTCACTATAAGACAATAAATATCATTTTCTTAAATAGGATCAATATTAACAAGAACCTACGACATTTCTATATCAGTTCCGCTCTTGAGAACTGTTCCAATAATGAGTGTGAGGTGTGTTTTGTCCTCTGGCATATATTCTTATCTACACCCATCACGCCCCTAGAAGAAATAAAACTATCATGTTGCTACTGCGACATGGAGAACTATATAAAAAGTTGTCACTGTAGTATCTACTTTTGAAAAATTCTGAAAACCTCTTGTATGATTGCACTAAATTAGAATTGGTCACTTGAAACCATCAAATTCACTAAGATTCTAATAGTGGTACGTATAGATACTCAAATTGGGTGGAAATTCATGCAATTTTACAAGCTTTCTAAAAAAAAAAGCTGGTGTTATACTAATATTTTTGAAACATCTTCGACATCGTTATGTTTTGTATATCTCTGAGCACAATTTCACTCGATAATCAGAATATTATAGGTGAAGAAAAACAAAAAGTTCAATATCAAAATACCGATCTCGTTTTTTTTACTTGTCTACCATTTAAAAAGCTTCATTTAAGTCTAAAAAAATGTTCTACATAGTTTTGTGTTAAAACTTTATGGATGAAAATAATTTCTTTATGTAGAAATAAAACCTTTTTAAAAATAGGATGCATTTTTCCTGGTATACTACTTTATTCTCCTATATAAAATATGGTATTGATTGCAGATAAACGAAAATCCTTCTAATCGTCAGAATAACATTTTCTGATAAGCAAAAGAGTCAATGTTTTTTTATTTGTTGAAGATCTTCATTGATTTATTTGTTAGTAAAATGAATTTTGCAGCTTGAAAGAAAAAGACAAAGTATTAACTTATGAATAATCATTTCTAACATTTTATATTCATATCCTAACTTTCAGTGGTCTTGCAAATAATTATTATTTAAAACAAAGATATTCCGTTTGTTAAGACTTAAGAATTCAGGAAAAATTCTTATAATACATGTTGGAAACTAATTCATTTTGATCATATTTACAAATAAGCTGACCCTGTCAACTTGTAATTCTCAATTAAACAAACTTATTCATCACACACACATACACACATCTCTGTTTTTAAAATGATAAATGCTAGTTTTTGTTTGAAAAGAAAAAGCTAATATAATTTTACAATTTCCTTCTTATAAATTCCAAATTGTCTTTATACATTTGAATATTGGGATCATTTTGGAATAATGAATGCTGACTAATGAGAACAGCACGCTGATGAAATGAAAATGCTTTCGAATATTCGCCCATAGTGCCATAAATAAGACCAATATTGTTACACACAATAGCCAACTGAGGATGATTTGAAGGAAGAATTTTTTGACAAATTTCAAACTGTAATTCGTAAGACCAAACTGCTTTCAAATAGTTGCCCAAAATGAAATACATTGAAGCAACATGACTGTACGCAGCAGCAAGATGAGGATGATTAGAAGGAAGAGTTTTTTCATAGATATTAAGTCCTTTTTCATAAAATGCAAGTGCTTTTTTGTAATCACCGATGTTTTCATAAATATGACCAATGTTGCCGTAAGACTTACCAATATAGGGATGATTTGAAGGGAGACTTTTCTGAAGAATCTCAAGCGCTTTTTCATAAGACAAGAGTGCTTTAGAATTGTCACCTTTCTGATCATAAACTGAACCAAGATTGCCATATAAAACAGCCAAATTAGGATGATCTGATGGAAGACTTTTTTTGATAAGTTCAACGGCTTTCTCGTAATATAAAATTGCTTTCGAATAATCATTCATCTTGAAATACTCGCTACCAATGTTACTGTAAAGAATACCTAATTCATCATGATTCGATGGAAGAGTTTTTTCTATGATCTCAAGACTTTTTTTGTGATATAAAACTGCTTTAGAGTGATCGCCCATATGGCTATAAACATAGCCAATATTACCGTAGACAGTAGATAATACGGAATGGTTTGAAGGTAACGTTTTTTGGTAGATATTAAGTGCAGTTTCATGAGATGAAAGTGCTTTAGAATATTCGCCCATGCTAGAATATATTGAACCAATGCAGCTGTAGCAAGAAGCTACCTGTGGATGATTTGGAGGAAGAGTTTTTCGACAGATTTCAAGTGTTTTTTCATGAAATGAAAGTGCTTTTGAGTACTGTCCCATTTTGCCGTATATATCACCGATCTTGCTGTAGGACGCCGCCAAATCAGGATGATTCCAAGGAAGACTATTTTGACTGATTTCAAAGTCTTTGATGTAATATGACATTGCTTTGGAGTATTCCCCTTTGTGCTCATGTACACGACCAATAGTACTGTACACATTAGCAAAATCAGGATGATCCGAAGAAAGAGTTTGCCGATAAATATCAGATGCTTTTTCATAAAAAGAAAATGCTGCCGGATAGTTGCCAATGGTATCATATAATCCACCCATGTTGAAGTAAGATCTTGCCAAATTGGGATGATTTTGAGGAAGAATATTTTTGTTGATTTCGAGTGACTTTTGATAAAATGACATCGCTTCTTCGTACTCGCCTTGACCATGCTTCACTGCCCCAAGCATATGATAAAAATCTGCTTTCTCATTATCATTTAACGTATGATTAAACAATATTTTGTATACTTCTTCAGCTTTTTTAAATAAACCCAATTTAATGAGCAACAGACCTAACTTATCCCATCCAGTCGGTCCTTGAACGTCTTCTCTGATTGAGTCGATAAGAGTATGAAGGTCTTGATCATTATCATTAGTGAGAGACAATTTTACTCTCCACATTCGATTGTTATTATTTATTTGTGTGATGTCATTAATGCGAAAAATTGTGTGCATAGAGAAGAGAATTTCATCTTCAGTTTTATATTGACTTACATCATTGATGAAAGCAAATGAAGTCGATGATATAGCTGGATCGATAGTTATCTCAAACAGTACACCTACTAAATCAGGATTGCATTGATTGCTTTCAGCGAAAGCATTAGAAAGAGATTCATCTTTACTAGTCGATAAGAAGTTATTAAACGATATTAGTCCACCTTTTGTTTTCTTCATTTGATCAAAGTCTATATGTGACATGCCTTGACCACGATAAACCATAAATGGTTTTGGTTTTTGATGACCACTGCATTGTTTAACCTGTAATTGTTCAATATGTTGATGAAGATCACGAAGAAAGAAACCCATCTTAATGATGATATCAATATCCATCATTCGTAGAGCACGATTGATCATCGAATATAGAAGACATTCGTGGGAATACCACCAAATAGGAGTATAACGATGGTACTCATGTTTCATTTTATCTATTGCATCTAACTTTCGATCATTGTCAGCACATTGTTTACGACAATAGTTGGCAAAATCTTTAATGTTTGTATCATCGAAATGAATTGTTAATAAAATTTCCTTGAGTATTTGTGTGTACATAAATGATTGATCTAGTTGATTTAATTTCCGGTTCGATATATCATAACTTGTTGAAACAAAGCTAATTGAAATGGCATTTTGATCAAATTGTTGAGTGGCTTTATTCAATTTTTCACAAATGGACGAAACATTTGTAAATACACCCTTCACTTTATTCCATTTCTGAATCCAAGAATCAACAGTTGATTCATTTTCAGAAAGAATATAAATGGAATTAAGTTGAGGAATATCATGAATAAGAGGTACAATATATTGGGCAACAGTAGCAGCAAGAATCATGAACGCCTTTTCATCTTGAATATCAGTGAGAAAATCAACACATCGATTCATATTTGTAAATGTCTTCACAGTATTCACAATACTTCGTAATTGCATTAGATTATTATGATTATTATTTTCATTTACTTCGTCATTATTGGAGTTGAGCCAAATGAGAAGAAAGTTTTGAACGAACTCGGTGGTGTTAGTCGTCAATTCATGTTGTTCTTTACTAGTGTATGTTACAGGTAATGATGTAACTACAGCTGTATTTTTGGAGGCAATAGACAGCTGTTCGTTTTTTTCGTCATCAATAGAACTTTCAGCTATTATGGAGTCCTTCCTATCCATTCTATATCACAGGTTTGATATTAATTACCAACAGTAGATAGTAGATACTGATAAGAAAAGAAATGAGAACATCTTTCATTTTATAAATACATTACTTCCTTTTCTCGATTTTTCTTTTTGTTGTTGCTCTTATGTTTGTTGTATTTTTATCAATTGTCAGATACCTTTATTTTTCTTTGAGTATAGTATTATAAAAGACGAGAGAGAGACTAATAAATACTTTTACTGTCAACGAACGAGAAGAAAAGATCAATATTGCTTCGTTATTTCGTATTCTGACTAAACAGAAACAGAAAAAAAAATATGCATTCGCTTTGTCTCTATTAACTGACACCCTAGAAGAGTTTCTTTCTACTTCCTTGTTTACTTGTATAAATGTAAGAACGTAAAGGACACTTTTTCTTTTATAATGAATCAAAAAGTATTATTCGGAAGTGCATACAATGTCAAGAAAAAGAGAGATATAGTTATGATGAATTAAAATCTATTATTAATTGTAGAAGCAGACGTATATAGTACCAATACATTTGAATGTCTCATAAAAAAACGAAAATTAACATTGTGAATGATATCAAACCGAACATTAATATTTCTTTAATAGTTATCAAACAAGAAAATGCATTTGTAGCTGTGTTCTTTTTCAAGAAATACTTGTATGCCAACGAATTTTGAATTGAATTGGTCAATACAAAAAATTCTTGAATATCACGATAAAAAATTGTATTTACTTTTTAATACTAAAAATTGCAATCTTCTTGTTATCGATATTTATCTAATTATAAATCAATAATTGGCAGAACGCTTTTTTTTTGTCTTAAAATCGAGACAATCTCATTATAAACTAAGAGATTCATCCAGACTTTTAGGTTGATCTCTCAATAACACATAGCATAATGTAATCGTATTCGGAAAAATTCATATTTGAAAATAAAAAAATTCTTATTCAGATGTCCTTGTGTATTCTTACTCATATTTTACAAAATGCTAAAACATAATTGTTCAACTAGAAAAATATTTTACAATACGTATCAGTGATTTTGTATTCATTTTAAACGGGCTTTTCCTAAAATACTTGTTCAAATGACACCTTTTATACACAAAAACTAGTTATTGATGAGAGAAGTCGTCCAAATGATAGATGGTTTTTGAGTCGAGATGATGTGCATTATATGGAATCGGATCAGATTTGAATACTCTGAAAAGAGTTCGTCCCTTAGCTTATTACTGTGAAGATGCTAGATTTCTAAGATACTTTTTAAATGAATGCCATAGCTTCTCTCAAGGACACGAGAAAAACTTTTTTTTTAAATTTCTACTGGAAACTTTGTACAAAGATAGACCTGAATGAGAGTAATTTCAGGTCTTGTGATTTGCTTCTATTCTAAAATATGAACATCAAGTCTATTGGTATATATGAACTATGTATATTGCTATAATTGTATCTTAGAATCGAAACAGCGACAAGATCTGCAACATTCACATAAAATTATTGACGTTCAGATCTCTTTCTATGTAAATTTCCAAATCGAAAATTCTAGAATCACTTTTTCTGATGTTTTTTGAGATTAACCACAGCCTCATTTTAAAAAATATCGTAAAAATGTAGTACCTTCGTAGCAATAAGCTAAGAACATGAATTTTTCAAAGTGTTCATAGCTCATTTAGGATCTACATAATACACATAGTCTCAACTCAAAAACAATTTATTAGTTGGAGAAATTCTCGTATGAATCCATGATGCTCAAGCAAAAAAATGTTCAAGACAATCGTACATATTTTACTCTTCGAGAATTGAACATGTTCTTTTGTGCATAAATTTTATTTAATAAGAAAAACAATAATTTTTCTTTTATAGATGTTTTTTTTAATACAAAATAAATGACATTCAGACTGTTTAATTATCTATTTTATGTGACATCTAGAAATAAATTTGATGTTAAAATTAATTTAAATACATATAAATATTTAGAAATATTTATCATGAAATACCTTTTTTTTTTTCTCTTTTCAATTAATTCTCTAATTTTCTCATAATAGGTGATTGTTTATCATGTGTGATTTGATGTATTTGATTTTGTTTAATATATTGATTTAGTAAAAAATCAACTTGTTGATATATTTGTTTAATTGGTTGTGATGCATCAATAATTTTAATAGGACATAAATTAAAATTCTTTACAAATTCATCATAATAATGTTTTATTTGTTCCAAACGTTTTAAATCAATATTGGATTCTGATTGACGTGAACGTTTAATAATACGTTCAAAACATTCTTTTGGTGATAAATCAAAATAGAATATCAATGTTTGTGATAAATCAAGTGTTTTTTGACAACTATATTCAAAATGATCTCGAAGAATTTTATATTCAGTTTCATTTAAATAGTTTTGTTCAAGAGCATGACGAATAAATACATGAAAACAACTAAGAATTGAACGTTCATATATATCAATATGATGATTATTAACTGTATTGAGATGATTTTTAACACGTGATAATAGTGCTGTCATTTCAAATGCAAATGTCCATCGATTACTTTCAGAATATAAAGCTTTGAGAAGATCAAAACCTTTTATATTCATCCAATTTTCAACTGGTTCACGATGAACTTGAACAAGATTCGATGGATAAATTGATGTAATATGAGAAATTATTGTTGATTTACCAACGCCTATATTGCCTAATAAATAAACATAGAAAATTGATCAATCAATTTGTACGAATGATACAATCATAACAAAGATTTATTATTGAAGTCTATTTCTTTTACTTAACCTAATATGCTTAAATGTGTGATATCAACTTAAGTTGTCATAACGATTATGATCGAAATTCAAAGCAAAAGACTATCTTCTACGAAAATATATTGTACTTTAACTGAAAGCTAAAAACCGTTCATTCCTACAAACCTTTGAAGCCAATTGACGATCGTTTTATTGAATTTTCGACCCAGTTTTAAGTATATAACGAAGAATCAAAATACAGATACAATATTATTATACTGTTTTGAGACAAAAAAAAACGAACAGAAAAAAAAATTGCAATTCAAAAAATGATATGTAATGCATTTTATTGTACCATACGAGACAAGAAATTGAATAAATTTTCTCAAGTACTACTAGTGTGAACGAACTAAATTAGAATCATTCAAAGTCGACGAACACACCTGAAAAGAACTTTTTTGTATACGCGTCGAACAACTGTAGAAGTACAAAAGACTTGTGAATTTCATTCAAAATACTTGGAATTATAGGTATAAAGAGCGATATATATTTACATCGTTCTCAATTGTGAAGTATTTATACATATTATATACTCACGTGACAGAAAATTGAACGATAACTCTACGTCTTAGGTTCAAAAAAAATTTTAAACAAGATCTTTTTGATCTTAGGATATATCTAAATACCTTTTCAGATTAGAATGTCACGGTACAAATCAATAAAAAGATAACGATCAGTAGTAAATCAATTTAATTCAAATTTATAGTGTCTAACTCACCTTCAATTAATATTGTTTTAATTAAATTTAAAGAATGCATCTGCAACAATGAAAATTTGATTTTTATTTTGCATATAAATTAAAACATAAATAACAAAGAAAAGAAAATTTTTGTTTATTCGGAAAAAATTTTTGTTGAAATTGTTTTACTATTTCAATTATTATTTTCATTTGTTATTAATTCATATTTCTTTTTCTTATGAAATAGACTAATATGTGCGCACATCATATCTTTATTCGGTGCAACTTGTCGAACAAATCGATATAATATTTGATCATGATTTATATTTGGTATTATTGACTTTAATCTTATTTGTATATCTTCAATACGATTTTCACCTCTTGAAAATGTATAACAATAAATATGAATTGGTAATAACCATTGTTCTTTATCTTCAATATTCATTGATAACCATTCAGAAATAACATCCAAAAATGTTAGAGCAAGTCCAGGTAAATTCATTAAAATAACAATTTTACTATTTGATAAATATTGAAATTTTTCTTTATCTTCTATGAATTGTTTTTGATAATTTTCAATCTGTAATAAAGCAATAGTACATAAAAATTCTCGTCCATCAAGATTAAATATATGATATTCTCGAGAGGATTTTTTTGGTTGATTCTTTTTAAAATTAATATTCATCCATTTATAACATTCTGGATTAATATCATTTGCATAAATTATACAACCAAGCATAGAAGCTGGTACAACAAATGGTCCAACACCAGCAAATACATCAAAAACAATATCATTAGGATAAAGAATTTCAATAATACGTTCATGTTCTGTACCTGAATGAAAAAATTTTTTAATAGATGAAAAGAAAAATTTTTTTTTTTAAATATACTTAATCGAGGATTCCAATAAACTTTTGCAAAATCAAATTGAAATATTGCTTTACTTTCACGACATTTAACAATAGTATTTGGATCACCAGCAAGAATTTCTAATTCAAAATTACGATAAATAGAATCGATTTCATGTAATTTATTAACAACTGTTTTTACATTTGGTAATTTGTCTAGAATTACTTGAGCTAAAATTCTTGGAAGAAAACATATACAAAATAGAATTAAAAATAATAATAATAAGATCAAGAAAAATATTGTTTCAATATCTATTTCTGATTCTATTATTATAGTTTAACAGACAACTTTTTCTAAGTAACTCTCACCTATAATATGTTTATATGGCAAAACTTCATCTCTTAAATTAAAATGAGCAATATGTCCAATAATACTATAACCTGAACCAGTATTAACACATTTATCTTTTACTAAATCATCTGGTAAAATTGCTTTAATAATTTGTTCAATTGTATAATTTGTATATGTTATTGTTATTTGAATAAAATCAAATGATTGTTCAATATATTTTTCTATAGATGGTATACATTTAATAATATCTTCTTTAGTTTTAATAATATCTGGATCAAGTAAAATTTGTTTTATTTTTGATTGTAAATCACGAACACATTTAAATGAAGGTAAAATAAGTAAAATATCTTTTAATTGTTTTAATTGAATATATTCAACAGGAATAATAATATAAGGTACAGTAATTATTTGTGTAAATTGATTACGATCAAGTTCAAGCATACCTTTTAAAGATAAAGGTAATGTTAATTGCATATTATGAAATAAGAATTTTATTTATCTAGAATAATAATAATAAAAAAAAAATATATATATATATTTTATTATTTAAGTTTCCATAGGTTCATTTTCATTTGTAGATTCTTGTTTAGTATTCATAGAAGAATTTCCTTTTACAAATAACAACATATCAAATGCTTCTTGTATTGCACGTAAACATGGATATTCTCGTGTATAACCACCTGCACGTTCAACAGGTTTTTCTTGACGAACATGATCTAAATATCTATAAAACAAATCAATTATTATGAGAATAATAAAAATTTTGTTTTGATTATTTTACCCAAGTTGTTCAAGATCATTTTTATCTGGAATTGGTGGTCCTTGATGTTCATAAATAGGTGGAATATATTCAAATAATCGTTGTTGATTTTGATCATTGGATAATGATAAAAGAATTTCTTCTTCTCTTTTGATCTATTTTTAAAATGATATAAGAATATTTTTACAATTTTTAATTATTTTTCTATTACCATATTAGGCATTATTGGTTGAACTTCTTCTTTACGTTTTTTTTCAAGATCTTCAATACTTTTTTTAAGTACTTGATCGACATTACCAGTTGATTGAAGCTAAAAGAAAAATAAATATAAATCAATAATATAGAAAAATAATATTTTTACTAATGCTTCCATAAGATCATTTTTAACACGTTGTTTTGCTTCTTGTTCTTTTTGAAGTTCTTGTTCATAGATTTTTTTACGCATTTCTTCAGCTGTACGTTCTTGTTCAATTAAATGTTCAATAAATATTTCATCATTACTCTATTTATAAAAAAAAATAAATAAATAATTTTTTGTATATCTTTTGCCAATATGATTAAATAAAATTTTACTAACCAATTTACCACGATTTTTATTAATTAAATCTTTATTTGCTTCTTTATATTCAGCAATTTTTCGTTCCGTTTCTTCAACATCAATTTTGTTTGTAAGATTAAAAACTAAAAAAACAAAAAATAATTAAAATAAAATTATTCTTTTATCAATCATATTGATTTATTCAACTACATTCACATCTTAGATTTTTGTTTATGAAAGTAGAATATTTATTCGTATGCTAAAAATTTTATTACTCGTATTAATCTATGTTTTTGATGATGTAAGATTTTTTTATTTTATTCAATTGCATCATACTCATGTATAGCTTATGTAAGAATTACTTAAGCAATAATGAATCAGAAAACAAGAGTCAAATGTTTGTCTCATAATGTTATTTCAGAAGTTTTGAATGACTCATATTGATAGAAAGTTAATAAAGAGATATGTCTATCCACAACTACAAAATGTAAATACATTTTATGTTTATTCAATATAATAAATTAAATATTATCTTACTATAAGTTTCGACTATTTCCAAATAATCATTATAAGCATCGAGTGAATCAAAATCTTGTTCTTTTCGATTGAAACTAGAATATCAATATTTTTAAAATAAAAAAAAACTCTAATATTTTGTGAATAACCCTTGTTTATATGTATAAACTTACTCTTTAAGAATACGTTTTCGAATATCAATTTCAAGTTCTACAAATGGATCTTCAAATATTTGATATCGAAATCCACTTTTTTTTAATTCAGTTTTGCATGTTGGACAAAATCCAATACCTTTACTAAATTTATTTTCTACACAATTTTCACACCTGAGAAAAGAAGAAGAAAAAAAAATAGATTTTAACAAAAGATATCTCTCATTCATCAATAACCTACAATGAATGGCCACATTTGCTGACCATTAATTTCATTTTTGGATTTCTGTATTTTGTCGTTTGACATTGTGGACAACTGATGTCCATCTGTAAGAATAAGAGATAAAAAATGGTAACAAATATATCTATATTTATATATATATATTCAATTCAATATTTTCTTATATCAATTATTGTTCATGAATAATAACATGAGATTAAGACAAAAAAAAGAAAATTTAGAAGACAGAAGATTAAAGAAGAATAACAGATAGAAAAATATCAAATACACTTCTACATAAACAAACTTGACAATAGATTTGAAGAAAAAAAAAAATGGAAAAAAAAAAGAAAGAAAGAAAGAACAAAATATCATCAAATAAGGAATGCTGAATATAGATGAATGTTATTATTTTATTTGTTTTTTTTTGTGTAACATTCACTGGATTAAAATAAAAATAAATAAGATATTGTTAATGTTAGAAATAAAAAATAATCATTCTCTATGATTGTGATCGTTTTTTAGTTGGAGTTACTGTTGGTGTTAATCCACGATTTGTTTTACGTTTATCAATTAAATCTTCAATACGTGATAATGGACGACGATTTGTTACTGTTGTTGAATCATCGGGAATATCGAGAGTCTTTTTCTCGATTAACAAGGGTGTATTTCTAAATAGAAAAAAATTTATTGAAAAAAATCAAAAAATTCAAAATCTTTTTTTTTTTAAAGTTAGTTAAGATTAAAAAAAAGAACTAAATGTCAAATGCACTGATCATTCCAATGTCGGTTTATATGTAAGCTTTGTTATATGTCTAAAACTACCTGTCGACGATATGCTATAGATGGAGATGAACCACGTGATGATGAAGCAAAACTTTCGGCAGCAGCCAATATAAAATCATCAGTTGAATCAGATCGTGTAGGAAAACGACGTGAAGATGTTCGAATAAAATATTGCGAAGTAGACATTAAATTTTGACTAAAGTGATTAGGACTTTCGAATAGTATTATGTTTTTTTTTTTTTTTTTATTTTGTTGATTCTTATTCAAATGTTTCTTTTTTTGAATAGAAAATACTTACGATAATTTAGCTGCTTTTGCTGCTTGTTCACGCCATGCTCGAACTTCTTGAAGACATGTCTAAAGAAAAAAAAAAATCAAAGAAATTATATTTATTTAAAAGATTATAATATACCGAAAAGAAAGAACAAAATGATTTAAGATCTGTAAAAAATTCATTAAGTGAATAATTTTTTGGATCAATAGCTAAAAAATCACAAAGATTTTGATAAGCTTGTGTCATTTCTCCATCTAATTGTTCTAATCGTGTAACATCATTATCAGCTCGAATAATAAAATCCTAATAAATAAAATAAAATGAGTTTTTTTTTTTTCTTTTTCTATATAATTTTACTTCAATTGATTCAACAAATTTATCTCCATCAATTTGTTCTTCAATATTTTTTGCAATATCTAATTCTTCTCGAGCATTTTTTAATTCTTTATTGATTTCTTTTGGTTGTTTTTGTAATTCAAGTATATTAACTGAAGAAAAAATGATTAAAAAAAAAAACACAATTTAATTTTTTTCTTATCTATTAAAAAGAACATACAATCTCACTTTTGGATATACCATCAGCAAGTGAATAGAATTCATCAGAAAATGAAAGTAAATCACGATGTTTATTTTCTATTGCTTGAACAATAAAATGAAGTAATGAACGACGACCATCATTTGCTTTTGTTGAATGTAACTATTTAAATAAATATGAGTTATTAAGAAAAAAAAATTTCTATTGAATTACTTTAGGTAAAAAACTAATATCAAATCCATGTACAGGTTCATATGATTTTGCACTTGAATTCATATAATTTCCTACTGTTAATATTAATTCAAGCATTTTTTTAAATTTTATAGAATGTCGAACATGATCACATGCAGTATGAACTTCAACAAATGCCTAATAAAATATTATAAAATGATTAAAAATATTTTCTTTTTGGAATGAAATCAACAAACTTTATCTGTTTCTTCAACTGTTTCTTTATAATTTGCTTTAAATAAAAGAGTTTTTAAACGTTGTTTTAATCGTTTTATATCACCGATCTAAATAAATAAAATCGATTAAAAAAAACAAAAAGAATTAATCTATATTTACAGCACAAAAATACTGTTCTGAATATTGTAAATCATTAATTTCATTTTTATAATCAGCTAATATTTTTAATTCTTCTGGTGTTGGTAAATATTTTTCTAATTGTTTAATAAAATCATCTTTTAAATATTCATTATCACATGAAAGCATCCATTCACGAAAAACTGATGGTGGTGCCTTCAATTGACTGAACATTATAGCTAAAAAGAATTAATTCGATTATTCATGTTTTGTTTTTTTCTTCGTGGAACAAAAAAAAAATAAGTTTATACCAAAATTTTGTGCAGCTTTAGCATCAAGAACACGCAATTCTTTTGATTTATCAACAAGATCATGAATAGGTTGTCTAGCTAGAAATACAAGAATTTTTTTTTTATTCATTTCGTAAATTTATTTACAAAAATATGAAAGAATTCGATTATACTTGGAGCTATTTTACTTGCAAAATTTTTTCGTATATCAGAAAAAAGTTCATCATTAACATATTTTTCTTCATCGACATGAACCCACATAGAATCTTTTTTAATCGTATGTGGATTTATCTAGAAAATTATTACAATTAAAAATTAAAGAGAATAAATTCGTTTTGACTAACTTTACTCCATTGAACTTTTTTAACTGGTTCAGTCACAGCATATTTTTGTTTCTTACGTAAATATTGTGGTAATTGTGGTGGAACTAAACAATAGATTAAGTAATTATGTAGTGAAAATAAATTTTTAGTTACCACCAAAGCCCGGCATCATTGGAGGTGGTGGCGGGGGTCCACCTGAGCCCATTGTTGATGGTAGTGGCGGTGGTGGTGGAATACCAAAACCAGGAAATGGAGGAGGAGGTGGCGGCGGCGGCGAACCAGCCGAGCCTGGAAATGATGGAGGTGGTGGTGGGCCAGTCAATATTGAAAAAGGTGGTGGTGGTGGAACACCAAAACCAGAAAAAGGCGAAGGTGGTGAATTACAAAAGTCTGGAAAAGGAGGAGGAGGAGGTGGTGGTGGTGGAATAGATGGAGAAGGCGATGTGATCGTTGGTGAAACAATAGTAAAGAATGGCGGTGGTGGAGGAGGTGGAGGTATTGGTAATGGAATGTTTGATCTATAAAAATAAAACTATAAGATATATTGAAATATTCAAGTTCGACTTACATGGAAGATGACCCATCAGTTGATTCTGATTTTTCATCAACTTCAATAATAGGATTTGATAAAAGTGAGCATACATCATCGTTGACATTTTGATGAGCTTTAGAACCAGATGATACCAAAGATTTGGACTCATCTTTTGAGCTACGTAAGTTTAAAACCTAAAGAAAAATTATTATGAAGTTTACGTTTTTAGAAGAGTTTCAATGAAATTCATATCGATAATAAAATTTCTATTAGATAATAGAAATTCTTTTTTTTTTTTGCTTTTTAGATAAAATAAATTTACTTTTCGAAGATCACTATCATTTGAATTCATATTGGAATGTAAACATGATTTAAGTTGTTTAACAAATGGTTGTGTAGAAGAATTTCTTGTATCACAATTTAATGTTAACCAATCAATTAATAAATCACCTATGAACAAAAAATATGATAAAAAAACTAAGATGAAATTAATCTAATTACTTGTAAATTTTGTATGATTAGTTTTGTATGATAGTGAAGGATGAAGAACAAGTGAAGATGAAACAGATGAATGAACGGTATCATCAACAGATAATGAAGAATCATTATTATTAACATATGATAATAATTTATGCATTGTTCGTCGCATAGTAATATCATCATAACAATTTGATGTTGAAGATGATGATTCACAATCTGAATTTGTTACAATTGATGATGACATGGAATTATAAATATTAAATGTTAAACATTGCTTTGAAAAGAAAAATTATTCATTTAATTCTTTTTATTTTTTTAATATGAAATACCTTAGAATAAGGAACAAGAGCTAAATTTATTTGATCTGTTTGTATTGATTTGTCGATCTTTTCTATTTCATTAAAAAGATCGTATTGTGTAGATATTGACTTTTTGTCACTTGGTTCAATATCAGAATGTAAACCGTATTCGTTCTAAAGATATATTAAATTTAGTAATAGAATAAAGTTTGTGTTCATACATACTTTAAGAATATCAAAAATGGTTGTCTCTGTCGATGTGCTATAGTTATATTCTTTACTTTCAACCAGATAATGATTAACTTAAAAAAAAAAGAAAAAAAAAAAAAAGAATACAAACGTTAATATGAAGGTCTCAATTTTTTGTTCATATTTGTGAGTATTGATAGGAAAGGGGAAGAGGTTGATATTCTATATTGATTAGTGTGAAAGTGAAGGAATGAAGAAAGAGAGAGAGAGTGTATGTATGTGAAAGAAAAATTGTAAGAGCAGCAATCTAGTAAAAGGAACAGATGAATAAGAGATATAAATGATAGAATAGTAATGTTACAAAATGCAGTAAAAGAGCAATTGAAAATGATACCTGTTCGTCTGCCTCTTTTGCTTCTTCAGTCACACTTTACTGACTAGAATACAAAAAAAAAACGCGATATCGATACAATATCCTTGACTCTTGACATGAAGACAGAAAGCTTCACACCTTAAACTATCATCATCACAATGAGAGCCGATATATCAAATATCAGTTTAAAAAGAAAAAAAGCCAAGACAAAAAAAAAAACTCACTGTTACTGGATATTCTTGATGGTAATAATTTAATATTTGTATCTTCATCATTTATGTTAGTTGCCCATGAATACACACTTTGTGCCTAATAAGAACAAAAAAAAACAAAGAAATGAAATGAAATGAATAACAACAGAAATAATCGATGCCAATATTGATGACTCAAAATACATATTAATCACTAAAGACAAATTTATTTTTTTTTTGTTATAGAAAAAGATTAATATGAATCATAATAAAAATATTTTCAGAAAATATAAGAGAAAAAATATCAAATGAGATATTATTATACTCAATTATTATTCTTCTTGAGTATAAAAGATTTCTATAAGATATGACATCAAATAAATAAACACAATTATATATTCTTGATATTATTTATATCATTTTATTAATTAAAAGATCTGCATAAATAAATCTTCTTAATGATATTCAATAAAATAAACATACCGTTGTGATGGTCGGTCGTTCGATCGGTGCATAAAACACGAAAGAAAATCGATGCACCTTCAAATATTATTAATTAGCCTTATTCATTTCGATTTCTTTGCTACTGTCTATATTAGTCCATATCCTTCATGGTTATTTTTTATTTTTTTGCTTCATATTTCGGCCTGTTTGTTAATTGAACTACATGTACGACAACGTTATACACATCTGTATGTATAGAATTGGGACGTTGTCAGTCTTCAACTGATGATGATGATGAAGACATGTTCAATGTCAAAGGTTATTATAGTTGTCTCTCCAGACGGCTATCTAGTTTAATTGGGAATATAGACGAATGTAGGCAGATGTAACTATCAAGGATTTTGTTCATTCAATTCAAGGTTAAAACATTAACAACAACAAATATGAACCTATTTATATGATAGAAAAGGAAATTTTGATTTAATATGAATTATAAACCTTGAATGTCTCCGCTTTTTCTTCTTTTCGGTTTTATAAAAAAAAAAGTGAATTGATGTCTACGGATCAAGAAAAAAGAAGATGACATATCGATACTACTATTATACAAACAATGTGATAACATTCTAAGACGAGGTGAAATGATAAATAATGATACTTAATTCAATTCAAATAGACAATTTCAAAGAAAGAGAGAGAGACCATATGCATATCTACACGTTTACTTAAAGAGCAATGCTGATCAAAAAGAAAAATGTGTTTGTCAAATAATTTATGTCATTCACACATCAAAAGCGTATCTCATCGTATCCAATTATGTCGATATCATCGACCGTTTTATAACACATTGATACAAAGCGAATGACAGTTTTTCACACATATTCATTTCTTTTATCTTATTCATATACATATAATACAATTGATTACCTTTGCCATATGACAAGGTTTATTACAGCTTCTCATGTACATGGTCGTTTGACAACATACATTATGAATAATATTTCGGTACATAGAACCCATTCCATATTTAGGTTCGATTATAAGTGATCGTTGTTCAAATTATACCCCTTTTTTTTTAATTTTTGTTAGAAAAAAAGATCAATCTTATGTTCATAATTAAACACAAGAATAAACAATGAGATTTTGTTGAATATCTACTCTATTTCCCTTGTGTATATGAAAAGAAAAACAAAGAAAAAAATTTTTTTTTTCTCATACTTGAAATAAATCATTATTTTCAATACTTTCTATACGAAGTACACCAAGAAAAATAAGACATGTACAACATTGTAAAATAACTTGTTTAATTAATGTTAAATTTTCATAACGATCTTCAAAATGGCTCAAAAACCAATCAAATAATAATTCACCTAAAAACAAAAGTAATCAAATTCTTGAATTTTTGTTTTGTTGTTTAATTTTTACCAGAAAATTTTCTATGTTTATCATATTGTAAACATGGATGTATTAATATTGATGATATAGAATTATTCTTAATAATATTCGTTGTTTGTAATTGTTCATAAGAAATATCATCAAAATTTGTTATTGATGAAGATTTTTTATTATAACTACCAAAAAATTTTCGTAAAACTTGTCGCACATAATTAATATTATGTATACGTTTATCATTTGATGATGATTGACGACGATTATCAGTATTTATATCCATTAAATTTCTTTTTTTGTAGTATTACTATTAACTGTTGATGATGTTTGATGAGAATGACATGTTGATTTAAAGATTTTGATATTTATATTATTTAATTCTATGACATATAGAATATAGAATGTTGATTTGATTCAACAAATGTAGATGAGGAGGAGATGGCATTTTATCTAATCAAACTATTTTAAATGGAATTTAATTTTCATATATATTTGTGAAAAAAAAAAAAAAGATTAACAAATAAGAGAAAATTTTAATGATAACATTGATTGTAGCGATAGAGCTTCATAAAAAAAGATTAATTAATTGATTGAATAAGTTTTATCATAGTTTAATGATAGATTAATATAAAAAATATTTAAAAGATTCTTGTTTTTATTATGATTATTCATGAGAGATGTCCTTGAATGATGATAAAATTAAGAAACGAATTGATTAATGAAAGAGCCAATTATATTAAATCTTGGTTAAAAAAGAGAAAAAATTATTTTCTGCGAATAAATCGTAAATAATTCTTAACGAGAAAATCTTTCCAGATGTTAAATCGTTTTTCGACCTGGATAATGTTTATTTAATGAATAATAGAAAAGTTTAGCATGATTTGATTTTCCAGATCTTCGTTCTCTAAAGATCGAAATTTTACTGGATTTTTCAACAAAAAAAAAAAGAAAAATTGTAGTGTCCTCTTCAGATTACATAGAAAATTCACATTCGATTTCAAACTTAATACAAAAAAGTTTGGTCATGAGATTATTTGATTTTATACAACTAGTATTTCTTTTATGAAAATGTTAATATATGAACAAAATTTGTTTTTATACATAAGAGAATTTCGAATACAAATATACATATCATATTTATATTACTAGCATTATCTCATATGACAATTTACAATACATAAAAAATAATGTATTATAAAAAAAACGAAGATTATAATTGATCTATTTTCAGATTCACAATGCCAGAAGGTGACGAATTACAGGTTGATAATGATTCTAGAGATACAATTTGTAAAGGTATTATTATTATTATAAATGTATTTCATAATTTAATTATATTTTTGTTTAGATACTGATGCTATAACTACTGAAGCAAAAGATTTAGTAATTGAAATAAAATCTAATCTTGTTATACTTATTTGTGGTATTTTAACAGTATCATTATTATCAATTTTATTATCAACATGGCTAGCAAAAACAATAAGTAATACACCATCATCATTCGGTACTATATTAAGTCATTATTTTGGTTTTGATCGTAATGAAACTGAATCAAATCTTACATGGTGGACACCATTACATATTCAATTATCTGAAAAAAAATTTCGACAATTTCTATTAAATAAAACTAATTCAACAATAATATTAAAATCAAATAAAAATTCTTATAATATTCATTCTAATTTTCATAAAATTGTTTTACCTTTTGTTTTTGTCGGAGCAATTATACTTGCTATACTAGCTTATTATGCACGTATTAAATGTACAGCTCGTAATTTTACATTGAGTGCTGTACCAAAAATTCCACTTGGACGTGTTGATCCACAGTTAGCTGCAGTTACTGTTGATTCTATTGTTAAAACAAAACAAGCCGAACCAGGTGTTGATTATACAATTATACAAGGTACAAAACAACAACCAGTTATATTTGCATTAGCTGAAACATTACAACCATTAAAGGAAGAATGTGAACCTGGAGGTTTAATTGATGAAGGAACTCAATATGAAATTGAAGATGTTCCAAAGTAAAGAAAACACAAAAAATTATTTAAAATATTTTTTTTTTATTCTTTTGTTTTTTTGATATAGAACTATTACACATACTTCATCAGCACCTGATTTACAAACTATTTCAGCTTTTGTATCAGCATCAAATGAGCAACAACATATGATTGAATTATTACAAAGACAACCATTGCCTACTATATTACCATCAACATAATATTTGTGATATTCTATTAAACATAATTGTAATTAATTTTATGCATAATACAACAAAATTGAATTGTAATCTCTTTATGTATAAACTTGTTTCTTTTTTTGTAAATTTCGTTGTTTTTTTTTTGAAAGAATATTTGTTGTTGTTTTTATTAATGCATTTTGTTGTGAATATGACACATTATAGACATCAAAAATTGTTTGTAAAAGTTTTAAGATTTTTTTCTTTTTTTTTTTGGAAAAATATTCGTCAATAAATTGTGTTTTTGCTCATTTTTTTATGCATAATTTGTTTTGTGTCAATTATTTAATATAGTTGAAGTATTTCAAAAACTTTTTTTAAATTTTTCACATATAGTATTTTCTTTTAATCATTTTTTAGAACTTTAGCGATCTAATATTTCTATCTTTCGTTCATAAACAAATTACATCAAACATAAATATACAAAAAAAAATGAAGGATCATTTATGAGTAAATTCTATATTCGATTAAACTATATCATTGCACATTGAGATTTGACTTATTCATATTGATATCGATGTACTTTTCTATTCATGTTAACAATGCTTATTCAATAATCATTAATTCTTCTTGTCTTTATACTTAACATAATAGGTAATTTCAACTCTGTCTATCTTCATATATTATCTTTAAAAAAATATCTCAACTCTACAGGATATGTTATTTTTACAGCAATCTTTCATAATGATCAATTCAATCAACAAAAAAACAAAAATATTTAAAAAAAAAGAAATCAAAATCAACATTAATTTGTCGATACAGCTGGCTGTTTTGCTAATTATGTGACATTATGTATTCAGTAGAGAAACATCAGGTTAGACAGCATGTTATATTGAATGATTTTATTTCATGCTGAGGTACACACAAAAACTGATAATTATTATGTAAATCAACAATTGTCTATAATGTTGATCTTGTTATAAGGTGTGCTGACGTTTCAAGAGACACTTGAACATATCTAACAAAAACGAAAAAATAAAAGAAAAAAAAAGAAATTTCTTCATTCTTCGAATGAAGCTAATGATGATAGAGAACTAACTGTGTCTATCTAGACTACCTGCCGTGTAAAGAAAACAAGGTGTGTGTATATATATGTATTTTTCAATTATTCATATTTAGTCAGCACCTTTCGACTAAAAAAATGTCATGCTCTTCGTTTATACTTAATTAGTGAAAGTAAAAAAGGATTAAAACAGCAGATGATCTTCACGTTATCATGTTCATTACAATATGTTATTTTTTTATATTACTCGTTTTTCTTTTTTTTTTCCTTCGTCTTCTCTTCTTTATATAAAGCTATTTACAGATCACGACTTTCTCCTTTTCTTTCTGTCTTCTCTCACTTGTTGACAACAACCAAAACTTCATTTATTTGCCAAGTGTTTTTACCTTCAGTCGAATAAAAAAGAAATATCGATAGACAAGCACGCTCGTAAATGGTGTCGAAGGGCGGCGTCTTCGTCTTCCTTTTTGCTATGTTTATTTGGAGTTTTAACTTTATGCAATGAAAAGATATACATATATATATATATATACGAGAAGAGAAGTGATTGATTGACTTTCGTATGTATGAATATACTACGCGTGGCTATATGTATATGTATCCATCTTCCGCAAACAAATATTGAATGAAGACTATAACTAAGACGCGTGAATAGATACACAAGATAAATGATTGTTTTTTAATATTATATAAATTCGATGAGTTTATATTCACAAAAAAAAAAAAAAAAAAAAAAAATCCACAGATATATTTTTTTTTTCTCGTTCTTTTCATTGGACAATACGACAAGTGCATCTGATAATTATCGTTCTTTTTTTTTTTTATTTTTTCATTTTTTCATTGGTTCGATAATAATTCACACATATATTGCAAGTAATGATCATGCACATCAAATAAAACAATTTCGAGCAAAGAATTATAACACCATTCCCACTTTCTCTCTTATATTCTATTGCTCTTCAGCTGGCACTTTTCCCTCAATAACGGCACACTTATGTCGGAACAGAGAGAGAGAGAGGGAAAGTAAGGAAACGGAAACGAAGCTTCACCATCGCCAACATTCTCATCTATAATTGCGCACTGGCTGGTTGGTAGTGGCAAAAGCAACGCAGTCAGTGCGCTATGCAATAACAAGCACATTAGAAGAACCTATCAGAATACGCGCGAGCATTATCGCGCGTTTGCAATAAGAGAAAGAACAGGAGCACGAATAAAAAAGTGAGAAAATATATAGAGAGAAAAAAAGAAAGAGAAAACGATAGAAGACAAGAGAAGAGAAGAGAGAGAAAGACACAGAAGAAGAAAAAAAAAAGAAGACACTACGAAAGAAGACGATACTCCCACATCTGAATAGAAGAAAATGATGATGAGTAGTAGTACTACAAGCAATATTGTTGAAGACGAAACAATGACTGGTAAGTTTTTTATTAAAATTATTTAAATAAATTCTATTTTTTTTTTGGGTTCATTTTCTCTTTATTATTTTAAAATAGAATCTGATAATCGTAAAAGTTTTCTTATATCAAGTCTTTTATCTGCAGCATCATCAGCTGAATCAATGCTTGAAACTGAAGAAGATGATGATGATGAAGAAAATGATATTGATAATGATGAAATGGTTAAAGATATTGAACATGATGAAGATCATAATGAAAAACTTCAAAATGATTCAACACAAATTCTACATCGAGCTTTCCCTAAAATATCTCCATCATCCATGATATTTCCACGTTTAATGTCTTCAAATGATTTTTCATATCTTTATTATCTTAGTTATCATTATTTTGCTATGCAATTATCAAAAAATGGTCAAATACCACCATCACCATTACCTTTAACAAATCCATCAGTTGTTGATACAAATATAAATTCAATAAAAAAACCTTTAAAATCATCTTATCCATTAACTCCAACATCATCATCATGTTCATCATCACCACCATCACCAAATCTAATAACCGCAACAGCAACAACAACAACAACAATACCAACAACAACATCAACAACAACAACAATTCTAAATTCAAATACAACAACTAATTCACGTTATCAATGTGACGGTTGTTCAAAATCTTATTCAACATTTGGTGGTCTTTCAAAACATAAACAATTTCATTGTATTGCACAAATTAAAAAACAATTTCAATGTAAATTTTGTGAAAAAACATATAATTCATTAGGTGCACTTAAAATGCATATACGTACACATACTTTACCATGTAAATGTAAAATTTGTGGTAAAGCATTTTCACGTCCATGGCTTTTACAAGGACATGTACGTACACATACAGGAGAAAAACCATTTCAATGTGAAATATGTTGTCGAGCATTTGCGGATAGATCGAATTTACGTGCACATATGCAAACACATTCGGATATTAAAAAATACCGGTGTACAAAATGTTCAAAAACATTTTCACGTATGTCATTACTTAATAAACATACGGAAAATTGCTTACAACAACAACAACAACAACATGTAACGACTGCAACAATTCATTCTTCAACTGATGATTGTACCAGTACAACAACGATTGTGCCTGCTGCATTTTCGCTTTGACATATCCTTCAAGTATTTGGCAAGTATTTTGTCTTGTTGTTGTGTTCCCTATTCATTCTGTTGTATTTTCAATTGTTGTGTATTTATTTCATTAACTGACCTTCACATAATTTTTTTTTTGTCACACATTTTCTTTTTTGTTCTTTTCACATTATAAAAAAAACAAAGAATACAAAAAAGATTCATCATAAGACGTTTTTTTTTATTTATTTTATATTCATGGTCCAAAATTAGTAATCGAAGTCGTTGGTGGTACTATTTCAATCGACTCTTTATTCTCTGTTCGTGCCTTCTCGCTCTCTCTCTCCCTCACTAACTTACTGACACACACACACTTTTTTGGATCCGATGCTGCACTTGAATGAGCGATCTAGCAGGAAATGAACACTTGGGTCGTGCGGCGCGAGCTCAATACCTGTACCATTTAGTGCTCTCTTTTTCTATCGTATATTTCAGTGTGAAGTACTTTCGTTTGTATCACCGTCGGGACGACAATGAATTGTGCTCGACGGACATACAAAAAAAAGGAACTTCCGTCTCGGAGAGCTTCCCGCCGTCCGTCAATTTTTCATCATCTTCTTTTTTCCCTTTTTTTTTTGTGTTTTTTCGATCGATGGTTAGAGCCTTCGTGTGACAAGTTGTAATTGTTGTGAGTTTGCGTAAGGCTTAAGATTTACCGCCATGATCATAGCCGGCGACGATTGTTGTTTTGTGTCCTGTTTACTTGCTCTAAGAGAAAAAGTCACTTGACCAATGTACATACATGTAAATCTATGTGTGTATGTCATTATCGATTTTCTTTTTTTTTTTTTTTTTGAGAACAAACGACTTATGCGATCATAAATCACTTTTTCCTTTCGATCTCAATCGATATATATATGTATATGTATTCTGCAAAAAAAAAGTCGAACAACCGTTAAATTAAACATAAGCATAGTTCCGCGTTAATGAGTGTTAATGATGAAAAAACAGACTTCTCAATTGTTGCCGCTTCCGCAGGTTGGAAGAAAATAAAAACTAGTGTATGTCTGTATGTGATAGCCAGATTCGATTGATTTAGATTGACGTTTGTTCTGTATTATATAGAGCAAGGGTGGAGAAGATAACCTGCTTGACTAGAACTATATGATATGGTCATGTATTTGCTACTGATGTCTTGTCAAGGCGCATGTTCGATGATTATGGTGATAATGACTAGAAGAAGCAAAAAGAAAAAGGAAGAGAAGACATGTAGTCGTAGTTGGAAGAAAGATGAGCAGCCACATTATCCACCATATATACATAAAGAGCGGCAAGCCTAAAAGGAAATAAATAGATCTCATCATTTTCTTCCATCATTTCTGTTTCGTCGTTGTCAGTGCCCATAATTGTTTATACTTATCAACACTCCAGAGACGAACAAGTATCGATCTATCTTGC